TAATACTAAATTGGTTATTCCTAAATTTACGGAAATTTGAACTATCATCTACTGAATTGTTCGGATTAAGCTAAATTTAGGTGAGTTATTTACAAGATAATGATATAAGAGTGAAAATATCGTATAATACTACATCTAGACGAAAAGGAGGTTATTCAATGAGAACCAGGCTTTGAACAGCCCGTAATGACGAATGCCATTGTATTGTCGTTAGCTCATAGGTGAGAAATTCCTTAATTCTAAACTATAGCTATTTAAATACTAAACGAATATTATATACACAAACACAGGTCGTTAGCTGCGGGATATTCGAATATTACAGTTGTTAGAGAAACTAGAAACACTAAAAGTAAGATTAACTTAAACTTAATTGATTAATCTGCTGACATTACCAGTAAAAACTGTTTCATTCTTAGGAATTTTATAATTTACAACATCGACGGATTAAATTCATGGAATTTAGTTTCTTGTTTCACTCTCTCAACAACAGTAAGAAAGAAACGTCGTGAAACCTCAACCAACACTACAAAAAGGCGGATCAGCTTTTGTAATTAAATATTGTGTTGCGCTTTTATCGCAAACCGAAGATTGCCTTGCCAAATCAATAACATCTTTGGCTAGGAAAAAATTCTTCCTATCTGATTGGTGGAATTGGTTTGCGTAGACGAGCTTCAGATTACAAGATAAGGTCATTACAAGTTTGCTGATCCAGCCTTTGGTCGAGAAATCTTTTCGAAAATCGTTTCTTCAAAAATCATTTATGGTGATTCCTTGAAGAGTCGAAGGGCTGTCGACTTGTAGGTGTATTTTGTATTTTTTTTCGTATTTATGTATTTTTAAGTTTGGTGTATTTTTGTATTAAAGTGTATTAAATTGAATTTTGAAATGTATTTTTCGTGTACAAAGTATTTTCGACGTATTTTTGAGTATTTTTATTATGGTATTTTAGTTTCAGCGTGTACACATTTACGTATTTTTTTTTTGTATTTTCCGAAGTGTGTACTTACAATTCAGCTGATATACAAAGTTGATCGCCCCTCGTGAAAAGTCCACAAATTTCCGCATGATAGATGATCACTTCAAGTGTTCTAGAGAACAAATTTCGGTCACAGTTGTGACATCGCTCATGAAATTGGAACTCCCTGTTTGCTGCATCATATGTGACGTTCCAGTTTCATTGTTGTATGTTTTGTGGCAGCTGTGCTCTTGAAATTTTGAGGTGATAGTATAGCGCATTACACACAATAGGAATAAATTCTCGGATATCTCCGAGGTCATTACTGATTTCCTTCACTACCTCAACAGACTTCGCCAATCTCAGGCATCCGGTGAACATCAGCATCGACGGGTTTGGTCACGTTTGGTCCGTTTGGTCATCAATTCTGTTTGAACATGCAACAATCACAAAAGCAGGTGCTCAAGAAAGTGACAGTTCACAAAACAAAACACACTAAAAATAACATCAGCATAATGCTCGATAATTCTACCACATCCAACATTATCGATGAATAGTGAATGAAATCGGATAATATCGGCAGGTGCGAGATATTATTCATTAGGAATCTAATTTATCTTTAAAATCGACATTATGAAGCAAATTTTATAGAAAGCCTTTATATGCAATGTAAAGCTGCCTTGCTGATACTGTACTTCCTATCGACAGCCCGGTGCGATTCACCGTTTTGCACATCATGAATCACCAATTTTCGAATACCCAAGGGAATATCTTTCGAAATCACTGCGTTCTTCTTTTTTCAATTGAATCAAATGCGATCACGTGTACAAATGCACCAGGTCGAACCGTTTGCTTCAAAACATGTCAAAACTAGTGTCAAAATATCAAAATATTAACAATTGAGGGGTTTTCCGATGGAAACACATATCGATTGTTAAAGTGGGCACTTTTTTTGTCTCTGTTTTCTTTTCAATACAAATTGATTTTTTTTTAAGTGCCTCTTTTTTTCAGTATTCCATAAGAGAAGCTTTAAATGAATATCTTGATGAATAGGGAGCTGCACCGTCGGATTAACCTCACTTTTTTGACATCTGCCAGTGGTTTGTTAACATGGACTTATAAAAAAAATTAAAAAAAAATATTTATTGTTTTTTTTTTAGATTTCTTGAAGAGGAATATTTTTCAAACGAATATAGTCGGAAATCATATTTTTAAATTCTTTTTATTTTAATCCTTTAATCCACTTGAATCGACTAACAAACAAACCACCACTTGATGTCAAACTGATGAATGTGTGTTCGTCGCGTTCATTCGTGACGTCAGCGTGCAGCATCCTACACGAAACGAAAATCAATTATTTTATCTATGTGTTTCACTTAAACATTTTTACCAAAACATCAGCCTTATGGTTTGCCTTTTAAAACAGCATTACGGCTAAAATAAGCTTGTCGATGTTGACTATCAATAAAATGACCCTTCTTGTTCAGTGACTATAGGTATACCTATATCTATAGATTCGTATAAGTCTAATGTACTATTTTTTAATTTAAGAAAATTAATATCGATAGGATCCTTGAGAGGACTGCCACAGGGCTTAAAGTAATGGAGTCCTAGAAACAAGGCAACAAACCCACCGACAAACTACTCACACAGATCAAACAAATTTTGTGTGATTATCTGCGTTTGAATTATGGAATGTAATTATTCAACGTCTTTTTTAAAAAGAAATTAAAATGCTCAATCATACATTTCGATACATTCTAGTCGACCATCAGCATTTCACAAAAATCTACTGACAATCTCCTTGGTGGATTCTTACTCAATCTTACGATCGAGTACACTGGACATTCCACAAGCACTGTGGTTTTATCCGCATGCAAGAGGCAAACATCGCCTTACAGGACGTCTACATTACCATCTTGAGTACCTCGTTCGAAAGTCAACGGACAGGAAAATAATCCGCAGCAAGACAATCCCTGTGCCAGAAGACCAAAATGCAATAAAGACATTCAGGATAACTTGACGGATATCAGACAGTTGGTAAATTAATTGTTGATTCATTAATATTGAATGACCAAATGTTTAAATTGTGCTTTATAGGTTGAAGAACTGAAGTTTCTGTGCCCTGGCCCAAATACAAAGAACCGGTTGAGGAGTTATGGCTCGAAACGTTTGCTGATCGTGATAGATTTCGCCAGAATAAAGAATTTCACATCTTCATGCAAGATTTTCCGGTAGCTGCGGGCTTCGATGGACATTTGGTAGGATTTATATTACTTTTTATTTTTCTTACTAGGATGACTACAAGTTGAGTAATTTAGGCTCAGTTGATTTTTTTTCCGAAGCAATTAGGTGGCAATAAGAAAGATTTATGTTTATTTTAGTTAATTAATTAGATATATGAGATTCCACCAACAATTCCACTACGGGTGGTAAAACCGATACTAAATTTTGATTTAATTTATTTTAGATTTCAATCGATTTTCAAAAAATGTACCCTCAAGGCCCACGCAGCTGTTGCGGCAAAGTGACAGCTAAATCTATTGTCTAACTGTCAAATTTACGTCAACGCAACGCAAACGGATCTAATGTGGGTGGCCCTTCAGGCTCGGGAGCTTGAAGAAGGTTTTGATATTTTGTGCAACAAAGTGCAAAGTTGCTTATCCGAATACGTTGACGTGTGTTACTAACGGTAATTTAAGTTTTTAAATGTAGAATCAATGCAATTGATAACTAATGCCTATTTACACAGACACCATACGGGCATTGGGAATCATCCGATTGAAGAATTCAAGCCTAGATTCAAGCAGAGGAAAGGAGCGAAGCAAGGATGACGACAGGAGCTCATCCAACGATAATCCATTGGCTGGAATCGTTGAAAGGACGTATAGTGCATGATTTAGCTATGGCTTGTGATCAAATTATATTCAATTCATTTAGATGGATGACCCAATACCAACATTGAACCATGAAACTCCTACACTTTACGTCCGTGGAAAATTCCCTGAAGACAACACCGATGGAATTATCTCCTGGAAGAACGTCACTATTCCTTTGAAAAGGAATTTCTTGGAATGTTTTCATATGTTGTGCATGTCGTTGACTGTCTTCAATGTAGATTGTCGATCAAGCGACAAGCAATTTTTTGTATTCAGTTTTTATGGGACTGGGAAACATAACAACTACGGGCGAAAAGTTTCTCCGTAGTTTGGATTGATTTTATGGTTGTTGTAGCTTCCTATCAGTATCCTGAAAATATGAGAAAAATAAAATGCAATTAACATTGTAATAAATGATTTTCCTCCTGGCCGTCTTATTACTATTGAAATTAATTAGTTCCTTTTCTCCTGACAAAACTTTTAATGTAACTGGATAACACGGTACAATAATGTACCAAATAACTGTCTTGTCAGTTAAATTGCAGCAAAATAAACAAAAAAAAAAAGCTGAGTTTTCCATTATACGCAACTCGAACCAATTACTGAATGAACAGTTATTTTTGACAGATTGACTTTACGGATAGTTCGGTAATGCAAATTATTTCTGTGATGATTACTGGTCCGCAATTCAAAAACCCAGTAAAATTTTACTGACTCCAGTAATCTAAAGTTACATTCCATAAGGCAAACCACATAGGTCCTATAAGAATGCATAAAAGGTATGTGTGACCGCTTATACATTTCATTTGACACATGATCTTCATTAACTTTTTGCAAGGCATCTGCTTATTAGTTGACTTCGTTGACTTATACATTTTATGAATAATCAGCAATATAAATTTGCCAAAAGCTATAAGGAGATTTCTATCCGTGTATTTAAGAAATAAATGAGAGAAATTCAAAAAATGATTTCTTTATTTTGCCTATCAGTGTAAGTATAAGTGACTCGCTTTTAAGTTATTCTCATTAATCGTGTGCTCATTTAGTGTTCATGATAAGTAAACATTGCCCGCAGCTTGTGTCACTTCTAAAAACGAGTGAGTGAACTCAAATTCATCGGTGCACTCGTCAAAAACAAAAACAACGCATCAGCGAGATCACGAATCTTGTCGGACATTAAATTTTCGGTACGCCTCAAATAAATAGAAATTTCCTGGTGAATTTGATTAACGTCCAGCCTTCAGGATACCCATCTCCATGTAAGAAGCATGGACCCGCTCGAGGTAAGATAGTTTGTTCTTTACCTGGAACATGGTCCGCTTCTCTCACGACTTTTCCTTGACCGTAATTGGCCAACATTATCTTTAATTGGACTCGACGCGTCATTCGCCTTCAGTATATTACTGAACCGATCGGAAAATGGCCACTGACCACCCGAAACCTCTCTCTTTTGATCAGTATCACTTTTGGATGCAAATCGAAAAGCTGGTGGGTCCAGTTCCGGAAAACATCAAATACCTTCTGCAATTTTCCTGTTTCTGCAATTCCTCTATCGCCGATCTGGACGATGAGCTGATCGATCAGATTGAGCAGGAGGCGCGGACCATCCCGACGGTGCTGCGGATTGCCACCAACGAAAAGCTGATGAAGAAGTACTTCGGAGTGTACTGCCACACACCGAGCGAGTTCCGGTTTCGATCCGGCGAGCGGCGAATGATGAAGAACATAGCCCTGTCGGTCCGGAAGAAGGGACTGGATAGTTTTATCCAATCGTTACGCACAGTACATCACCATAGTGAACCGCGGCCGGTGGTTTGCTCGCAACTGCAGAACCAAGACCCGCAAACGCTCCGACAAATGCTGCGGGAGAAGGTCCTCAATGCTGTGACGTAAGTTATTTCTTTATTAGGTTTCAAGCGTAGATCATTCGAATGAAATATGGTTCTACTGTTTTCAGCAACAACCAAGCGGAGATTCTTCCGGATTACCTGAAAATTATCCAGGACAACTTGGACATTCAAGTCGTTACGGAACAGGGTGTTCCGGACGCATACGTCTTCTGCCCTCTGTGTAGCACCAAGGCAAAGCTGTCGAAGGATCGAACCGGAAACATTATTGTTTCCAATTACACGCTGCACGTGCGCAAGTATCACGGTTTCGGACCGATCAGTGTGAAGCGGAAAGCGGAGGACTTCGGCGGACCGGCAGAGTACGTCCACGAGCACATGTTGGATCCGATGATCAAGGAAGAGCCGGATACCAGCGGGTATGAGCAAAGTTCCTCCTCCAATCCGTACTATCCGATTTAGGATTGGTATATTTTTGATTTATGTTGGCTTTAGTTAAGTAACAAGGCTGAGCTGTCGTACGTCAGGTATCGAGAATTAAGCTAAGTGTGTCGTGCGGATCGATGTGGTAAGTGATTATTTTTAAGCACATAGTAATAATGTCTGTTGCGTCCAATGGTGCAATACAGTATAGATAATCAATCGTGTAAAAGTCTGACAAACATCTTCGAAAGCCATGTTTGAACGTTTCAAATTCAACAGGTGGCGGTAGCGGTTCAAATATTTGTTTATCTTGTGTGATCCCAGGCATAATTGATTATTCATCTAAAGATTTTTTCTTATTTTTTATTGAATCCACTCAGATCATTATGATTCGGTTGTTTTCTGAATAGCTGCATCTGTTGGATTGATTTCCTCTTTTATGCTAATGATAGAATCATCATCAATATCATCCCGAGTTTCAACTTTCACCGCTTCTGCCTCAAAGAGATCCTCAAACTCGGCAGGCTCCTCGTCCTGTTCGTTCTTCTTGTGAATCTCCATATGTTTAATCATGTCATGCTTTCTGGTAAAAGCTTTGCTGCACATCGGACAGCACTGATCCTTGTCGCCCTTGTGAACCTGGTCTATGTGCCGCTCCAGACGGTATCTGAAATTGAAACTGGTTCCCAGATTAATCCATTCGGGAAGCCTCGTCGTTTCTTCTTACTTTATTGTAAACGCTTTTCCACAAAAACACGTGAAAGTCTTTGCTCCATGAACGCTCCTTTTGTGGCTGTTCAGATTTTGTTTGCATCGGAACGTCTTATGGCAAATATCGCACCCATTTTTCTCGTGAACAATTCGATAGTGGTTCTGTCGCAATTGATCACTTCTGAAACCCTCACCATCGCAGCCACGTTCGCATTTGTAGGGCCGAAGACCTGTTATAAGACAAGCTTAAGGTGAAAGACTTGAATCATTAGGAAATTCATGCATATACTGACCTTCGTGCCAATTGAGGTGTGCTTCCATGCCTGTTTCGAGAATCTTTTTGTCACATTTTTGACATTCCAGTTTCTCAACAGTTTTCCGGACATTGACATCGATTTTCTCCACTTCCTCCATGGCCATAGATGAGAAGTCGTCGTGCATGTCATCTTGAAGTTGCTTAGAATCTGCCCCCGGTTCAAGTTTCACCAATGTTTCCATTACGACGATCTGCCTGTTCGCTTGTCTTCTTCCTTCTTCCTTCCCATGCGATTTCAAATGCCTATTAAGTTCATATTTGAAGCAGAACAATTTACTACATTTCTGACATGCATGATTCTTCTCACGATCATGAACGAACTTCGTGTGAATTTTAAGACGCGCTCTGAAATAGGGAAGATTCGTAACTTTACTCCCGATATATTTTAGTCCGATCGGCTCTTCTTACGATGTTGTGAACTTCTGGTTGCAAACTGAGCACTCAAATGTCTTCGCCGCATGAACGCCCTGCTTGTGAGTTCTAAGCGTTTTCTTAGACCGGAAGAAGTTGTGACAAATATCGCACTCGTGTCTGTCGTGAACCTTCCGATAGTGCTGCAGTCGCTTTTGTTGACAGTGGAAATCAACGTCCTCGCAGCCACGTTCGCATTCGAAGGGTTGGAGACCTGTTCCGGGATTTAGATGCCGGTCAACCATCAATAATTTAATTCTAGTAGATACTGACCTTGATGCCAATTCTGATGACCTTCCATGCGAACTTTGGGGAAAATTTTGTCGCAAACGGAACACAGCTGTTTTTCTTCATCTGGAATCGAACAGTCTTTTCCATCGTTGCTCTGCTCGGGATCAGGCTTAATTTTCACTTCCTTTTCCGCAAACTTATCTTCCCCTATGGTCAGAGATGTGTCAGCCTGCATTCGTTCAGGATTTTCCACAGCTTGGTCTGCATCAACCAATGTTTGCTTCTGTCCCCGCGCATTCACCCGACGATGCGTCTTCATATGGATTTGTAGAATATATTTCGTAAAGAACGAAAGACTACACAACGAACAGGGATATTTCCTCTCACGGATACTGTGCCGCTTCTTGTGCGCTAGCAGACGGGAGCTGAAATGATAAGATCCATAAGATTAGTTGACCCATGAATGCCGTCTAAAATCCTCACGATGTGCTGAACCCCTTGTTGCAAACCGGACACTCGAATGTCTTCGGCGCATGAACGCCCTTTATGTGATAGTACAGACAAGCTTTGTTACGAAACGTCTTGTGACAAACGTCGCATTCGTGTTGTTCCCCGTCGTGAACGTTCCGGTAGTGGTGCTGTCTGTTATATCGGCAGTTGAAGTCCACGTTCTCGCAGCCACGTTCGCATTTGAAAGGTCGAAGACCTGCTTGAGAGTTGTTAGTGAATTAGAGCTGATTGATTGAATGACTAATAAACTGACCTTGATGTCTGTTCTGGTGGCCTTCCAAGCGATATTGGAAAACTTTTTTAGTGCAAGTAGTGCATGTTACCTTATTGCTGCTGCTTTCGCTTTTTTGTCTGCAAAAACGGGATTGCTTCCTTATGACAGGTGCATCTGCTACTGTCGTTTGATGTTCCCCGTGAACATCGGCAGTATGCTGTTGGAGGTCTTCCGACTCCACAAACGATAAATCTCCCTCCTCGACCGCGATTGATTTGCGAAGTAGAACATCTTGCACTTCAAGGCAACGCAACTGGTACTCACGAAATTCGTGTAACCGCCTCCGACAGCCAGTGCAGATGGACAGACTGATTTTATCGTCTTTGGAAACCTAAGTCGGACAGATTAAGATAGCATGATGTGTGAAAACAAATTCTTATCCAATACCTACCACAATTGAGAGGAAATCCAATATCCACACGTTTAGATCCTCGCACCTGAATATGTCTTCAAGGGATCCTTCTTTGATCATGCACAACCGGCAGACTGATGTAAAATGTTCAACCATTTCTTTGTCTACTGACTTTAGACTGTTTTTATTGTTGAAATGCTTACAGAATGGTCTCAAAACAAATGGTCAAACTTTTAAACTATAAATAGTGCACGGATGGATTTGAGTCCACTCACTCGACAAAAAGTGACACAACAGCGGGGCCGAGACGGCTAATACATAGGTGTAACAGTCGGAAGAAGTGTTAGTTTGTTTACTTAAATGAACCATGCCCATTTTGTTATGGCATGTTTGCTATAAGAAATGCGCCTCGTGTTTATTAGCGAATTTCACATCAAAGATTGATTAATTGAGTAGGAAATTAGTTTGGCACGGCATTTGTGACCAGCATACACCTTCCGGTAGTATGAAACAGGTCAAAAACTGTTCAAATCCGCAGATAAAATTTTTGTTTTGAATTTCTGTATAGCAAAATAGTGAACTTTTCGTGAACATTAACGGCAAAGAACTCACCAACACTGGGAGACTGTGAGTTCCTGCACACCTGTCATAAAACCGTCTCGCACTCAGTCTATTGACGAGTGCACGGATGGATTTGAGTTCACTCACTCGACAAAAAGTGACACAACAGCGGGGCCCTGTTTACTAAAAATGAACATATATGTGTTCATTTTTAGTAAACAGGGCCCCGCTGTTGTGTCACTTTTTGTCGAGTGAGTGAACTCAAATCCATCCGTGCACTCGTCAATTGGTACTACTCCGAGACTGAATAAAATTTTCGTCAATATCCTCATTTTCCGGCAGATTTTTTAGGTTTTCCACAGGAAACCATGAAACAAATTTACTCATCGCTGAGTTCCTGCATTTTAGGCGATTATGAGTGAACTAAACTCAAATTTGTACGTTCGCCGTGTATGCGTATCTCTCTCTTTTAAAACTATCCTAAAATGAGTAAAGCTTTACACTGAAAAAAAAATATTTAAATCTAAAAGCTACACTACACGGTAACGCAAAATACCCAATAATGACTATTTTTTTTTTCTTTGGTTTGTTTTTTCCGTCGATCTTGTTTTCCGTGCTGAGCACCAATGCCGAGATGGAAAATGACAGGTGGGCAGGAACTCACAGTCTTCCAGTGTTGGTGAGTTCTTTGCCGTTTATGTTCATGCCGTTTTGCTATACAGAAATTCAAAACAAAAATTTTTATCTCCGGATTTGAACAGTTTTTGACCTGTTTCATACTACCGGAAGGTGTATGCTGTTCACAAATGCCGTGCCAAACTGATTTCCTACTCAATTAATCAATCTTTGATGTGAAATTCGCTAATAAACACGAGGCGCATTTCTTATAGCAAACATGCCATAACAAAATGGGCATGGTTCATTTAAGTAAACAAACTAACACTTCTTCCGACTGAGGCACCTATGTATTAGCCGTCTCGCACCAATGCTACCGACGTGCCAGGAAGGCAGCTCCCACACTTGAACCCTACCTATCGACCCATCAACTCATGAACCGGGGACCAACGGCTTTACTTCCCATCCGAAGGAAGGCGTGATCAGAGATGTTATGCCTCAGAACATCCCGGCGGCGCCGACTGGGCCAATAATGACTACACAGCAAAAAAAATGTAATATCGATCAACGTAATTCAAGCTGATGTATGGAATAATGATGTAATAGCAAAAAGCAGATACAATATTACATCAATGGATGTAATTTTGTTCGCAAAATCGATGTACATCGTACAATGTGATATTACACAACCGATGGATTGACTTGGTTGCAGCAGTTTAGATGTAATATTCAACAACTTTTTTTGCTGTGTACATAGTAAGCATTTTTGATGGAGACTGGGACTACCCATTAAATGAGTAAAAAGATTACCCATTTATGAGTATTTGATATTCACAAATGAATACTTACTACTTATTTTTGTAGTTCGCGTGTTTATAGTTGTGCGCCTTTTCATAGCGCAAGGCAACTTCATTGTCTATCATCTCACCCTAATATACGAGCACCATACATGAACGATATCACAAATCGTGTCACCGTACCGAATATTGTTGGGATGATAACCTGAATAGGTTGTTAGGCACTCCTTATGGTTATCGTTTATGCGGGCAATAAAAACACAATTTCGGACGTTATAAAACTGAATGCATCTAACGTCCGAATATTGAAGCTTAATATTGTTCTCGAAGAATTTTTGCACTTTTCCCGCATTGGGACGAACTGGAAGTACACTGAAGTCAACAACAAGTGTGTTTTTACGAACTACACTCATTTTCGCTACAATATTTCACCAAGTTAAGCAGAGCAGAAAGAGCACACGTCCGATGAATAGGAGTAAAGGGTGATACGGTCAAAATTTGGTCAATATCAACTTGACGTATTTCTTTCAATTTTGCATTTAAAAAACCTAAACACCCCTCATTTTGAAGGTGTGTGTGTGTAGAATGTTGCTCCTATTTTGATTTTGGAATTCACTCTTCAGTTGTCAAAATGCCGTCCAAGCAAGAAGAGCAGCGTATCAAAATTTTGCTCGCGCATCGCGAAAATCCGAGCTACTCGCACGCAAAATTGGCAAAATCGCTAAAAGTTGCCAAATCAACCGTTACAAATGTAATTAAAGTGTTTGGGGAACGTTTGTCGACAGCCAGGAAGTCTGGATCGGGGGGAAATCGAAAACCGGAAGCCGCTGAGACGACAAAGAGAGTTGCCGGTAGTTTCAAGCGAAACCCTAACCTCTCTCTCCGAGATGCCGCAAATAAGCTGGGTGTATCGTCTACAACCGTGCATCGAGCCAAAAAACGAGCCGGACTATCGACTTACAAGAAGGTAGTGACTCCAAATCGCGATGATAAACAAAATACGACGGCCAAAGCGCCCGCGTCCGACGAGTTCCTGTGAGGGGTAAGTTTATTGCTATTGATTCCCACACCCAACTTTTGATTCGCCTGAGAAATGTTCGTAGACGCCAGTTTCAGAGGACTGTAGATCTGGGCAAAAAACGTGAAATGGCCGATCTGAACAGGCAGATTGCTTCCAGAATGGACTCACTCCGAAATGAAAGTTTCGGGCGTGTTGTCCAGAATCTGGACGACCGCTCCAGACCATTCTGGAAGGTAGCCAAGGTACTGAAAAATCATCCCAAACCCATTCCACCCAGTAAACCATTTTGCATGGATATCACAATTTATGGCCGTGATATACATGTGTATATCCCCTCATGTTAAATCGCATATAATGCAAAAAAAGTCCTTATACGTATAAAAGTGGAGGCGATATACGTGCAGTGCCTGATAATTAGAAAACGACAACGATTTAAAAACTAAATATATACGACTTCACAGACTTTCTTACGAGTTATTTCATTACTTGTCTGATATTTTTTATGTGTATTGTTACGACGTTTTTCATTACTTTATGCGACTTAAAAACTACACATTTGCAATTAAACTCAAGCCACAGTACGACTTGTTATATCATTATTTGCGATGTAAAATGGGTTCAATTACGACTATGTTTCTGCTCAGTGATTTCTTTAACCATAATTCACGATTTCCGATGTATATTGTTAGGATATTATTTGGTATTTTATGCGACTTGATCTGTATAGTTTATTTGAAATTAAAAAAAAAAATATTCTCTCGTAGCACAAACCCTATTATAACTAGCAGATTTCTCATCCTTTCAATTGATCTGACAAATTCTCATCAATTTACATTTATTATCATTTATAAATTATTACCTTATCACCCCCGGCTCAGCCTCGAACTACGAACTTTCATGTTGATAAGCGGCATCCAGTACACTGCACCACATCCTAGATATCGAATGTACTGATTTTTAACTATGACATTTTACATTCACCGCTTATAAGGTCAAAGTAAATCGTATAATTTAAAGTCTACTAGATACTGTTTCACGATTTAATTTGTAATTATATACGAGAAACTTTGTAAATACGTGATATAATATGTACACCTATACGAGGAACTTTCTGTATGCCGCCATTGTTGTTTACATTCGCGTTCGCGTTCGTCTCGTCGTCTGTTTCTCCAAACATTTAGTGTATCATAGTGTCAAAATAACTGCTCGGAATTGCTATTAACTATCGAAATTAACTTCATAACAGTAAGTTTCTCAATAATACAATGAATTATTGTCGGATTGATAAGAATAATAATCAATTTTCCCCAATATGTTTTCTGTGGTACAGTTCTTTGAGAAGCAGCAGCTGCGTGTGCTAGCGGTTCCTGCTTCGTGGGTACGTGATGGTTACTTAATGTGGCCCAAGCTGTCATCAAACGAAAAACTAGATAAAATGCGGACGAATGGTATTGATTTCCACGGTGCCACAAAGAAAATACCGGCAATTACTTCTCGTAAATACAAAAGCCTGAAAGCAGCAGAAGCAGCCGCCGAAGAGCTTCTTAAACATGACATATCAGACATCGATGCCAAAAGGAAGCTACTAAAGAACTGCAAAACGAAATCAGCTACTTCGCAAAGATCTAGGGATTACAACAAGATAATCGGGAGTATGGCTTCTGGTTTACTATCGCTGATTAAATTTACTTATTATTTTTAATTTCCTAGAAATTACTTCATCGAACACAGCAGTTCAGTTTAGTTCAAACGGGTTGTCATATCAGGAACAAAATCCAGCAGTTCCGGACGTAGGACAGGGTGTATTGTTGCAATCACCACAGAACAATGCTTCCGGGATAGCATCAAGTCGGCCTCAAGAACGACCGTATCAGGAACGAGCTCTTGGAACTCAGGATGAGGTACCGGGTCCATCGGTAAAATCGCTAGGAATGCCATCGCATCCATCTGACTCCGTTGCATCACATCCGTCAAACGCCATTTCA